AATCCTGGTAGCCTGGCTTTATCTCCTTTCTGATGATAGCTTGCATTTATTGCCGTGCATCCCTAAACTAGCACATCTAGTCTTGACAGCATTCTTGCGAAGAATCTAATAAATAGCCTCCCCATTTTTCAGATGGGAAAAATGAAGCTCACCAACATTAATTAATTTATCTAAGGTCACAGGACTAATTTGCTGTCTAACTAACTAACTGTCTAACTAACTAATTTGCTGTCTAACTTCAGATCTCTTTCTTCTACATCTTACTACCTCACCGCAAGTAAAACATCAGCTTCTAGAGAGGAGAAATCCTGCTGATACTTTGTTGCATCATCAGACTCTCTTAGGTATATTACTTTGCAAATAATAAGCATTCAAATAGTGATTAGTTTTAACATCCTCTTTGTACTGTTCTTTAACAGGGAGAATGGAAGAGAGGATAATTGGGTAGAAAAAGAGCACTAAATCATCCTTTTTTTAAATGGGAGAATTGCCCTGTATCCTGGAGAATGAAGCAAAAGTCTCCAAGCTTGCAAAGTGTACAGAAATGCCCATCAATTTCCCATTTTTAAGTAAATTAAAGTTGAGTTTGAAGACAACTGAGAATTTTTCTCTTTTCTTACACACATTGTCTCAGCACTCCAGAAATCTATAGGCTTTAAAAAAATTACCTAGGTAAATATTAAAATGCTCACTACAATAAAGATACTGGAATAGCCAATGTCTATGCAACAACACTAGTCAATTTCAACGGACATTCATGACCAAGGCGTGAAAAAGGAAAAAGTTGTCAGTGAGTCACCAAAGGCACATGTGCCATTTTTAGAGACTGAACAGGAAGAAAATGTCCACGTGTCTGTGAGCGTTGAGGTCCCAGAGGCGGGACTGGCATGGTGAGCTCCTTCCTTTCGGAGGACTCAGTGGGCATTTGCAAAAACTTTTTTGCCAGCTGGTTCCGAAGCCAGTAGTGATTCAGGATGGTGTCAGTGCTCACAATATTTATATGCCAGTCCGTAATTATGTGCCATATCCACGTCATCTCTAGATGTTTTCAGAGTAGCTTGTCCTTCTACCTTTATGACTAAAATAAAACTTTAAAAATATGTATAACTCTCAAGCTGGAAGAAATCTAAGGGATTATTTAATTCAAACCTTTAATGTTATACCTTAGGCGACCCAGGGAAGTTAAGTGATTTCCGGAAGGACACAAAGCTTCTGATTTACAACCATAAAGCCCACCACCAGACTTGTCCTGTGTTTCCTAATGTAACTATTCTAGTCAGGGCCATGGGATGTTAATGTAACGATTTAGTCATGTTAATATCTCAAGTCCAGCTAAATTGCGAGTGTGAAATGACTCGAGTAGATTCAAGCAAAAACACAGTGTTTTCTTACTTTCTGGGGACACACAGCTTGGTCTTCTTGGAACGGGATTGGATGCCAGAGGGGCCTGGAATGTTCTTTCTCTTGCTCCTGCTTTTTTTTTTTTTTAATTAAGATTTTATTTATTCATTTGTCAGAGAGACACACAGAGGCAGGCAGAGGGAGAAGCAGGCTCCCTGCCAGGCAAGGAGCCCGATGCGGGACTCAATCCCAGGATCCTGGGATCGTGACCTGAGCTGAAGGCAGACACTTAACCGAGTGAGCCACCCAGGTGTCCCTCCTGCTTTGGTTCTTGCTTCCCCTCCTGTTCCCTCATGGTCACACTCTTAACACCTGTCAGGGGCACGTGGCACAGAGGCCTCTCCTCTCTGCTCAGCCTCTATTATCTCTACGGCTCAGCCAAGCTTTCTCTGACCCCAAACGAACTGTGTTTTGGGCCCTTCCCATGCTAAGGGCTAACCGCTTATTATTTATGACCTCAATGAAACTTGAGAAGAATTTTGGGATACAGGTACAAGAATTAGAGTTATCTGTGGTTTGTAGATGAGGTTAGAGAGGTAGCAGGTGGCAAAGCCGTGGTGAGGAACCCTATCTGTCACAGCCTGAAAGTTGTGTGATCTTTGGCAAGTTATGTAAATGCCGTGACTCAGTTTCCTCATCTCTAAAATGGGATGATAGTAAGAGGGACCTCATGAAGTGTTGTTGTGAGTATTAAGGAGGTATCTAACCTACCGGTTTCCGAGACCGATGCCTGTACTGCACAATGACCATCTAGATGTGTTATTGTTTGTATCTGCTATCTTATCCCCTCAGCCGCGCTGCCTCTTCTTATATATCTTGCACATGATACATCGTGGCCTGACCCCACATTTGTGACCTCTCTGATCAACTGCCTTCCTTGGTTTAAACCGGTACTGCCCAGTATGGTAGCAGCTCAGCACCTTGAGCACTTGCAATGCGGCTGGTCTGGACTGAGGTGCGCCGGAAGTGTAACATACATGCTGGGCATCGAAGACTTCCTGCGCAAAAAGAATGCAAAATACCTTGATAACACTTTTTTGTGTGATTGCCTGTGAAATGGTAGTATTTGCGATAATATAATATTGAGTTAGATCAATGTGTTATCAGAATAAGTTGCACTTGTTTCTTTACTTTTTAAAAATCTGCCAACGAGAAGAATTTAAACCCCCTACGTGGCTTGCATTATATTCCTATTGGCCAGTGCTGGTGTAGAGACACCGTCTATGTTCTGTGTCCCAGGAGAGGCTGTGGTTCAGCCCTGCCTGCGGAGAGGCTCGCTCGAGATCAGGGGCCTGCTCTGGGACAGTCAGCTCTGTGGAGGGACTGACTGGTGCAGGGCCTGCTGCTGGCTCAGTGGAGGCTGGGGAGGGGGTGTGGTGGGTAATGGGGGCCATGGCTAGGATAAGCCATCCTCCTGGTATCCAAGGAGAAGTATTACATGGGTGAGTGGCAGGATTATTATGGAGCCATTTATGTTTGCTCTACCCTCTACCCTCTCTAACCTGCTGGTTGGCTTTTCAGAACCCCCAGATCAGGGGAGTTCGGGCTGCAGAGCCAAAGCAAAAGTGTTGGTACATTACCCCCCACCTGTGGTGGGTAGATTATGCCAGGTGACCAGGGAGGGGGAGGGAGAGCAAGGAGACTTTGGCCCTGAGACTAGGTGGGGAGTGGAGAAAGGTTAACCATGCTCCCCATAGCGACAGGAATCTGTGCCCCACTTGTGGCCACACCCAGGGGAGGGGGTGACAGAACCTCAGAGAGGAGAGGCCACACAGTGGCTGAAGACTTGAACCCTTCTTTGCTTGGAAACGTCTGAACAAACAGCTTTCAAGTGACCACATCAGGTTAGAAAATTAGGATAATAGCAATGGAAGGCCCTCACCCTCATTTCCTAGGCCTCCCAGATTCCCTTATTACTTAACAGAAGGTCGAGATTTCCTGTTCCTGGTAGGACTGAGGCTTAGAGGAGCCAGATTTAATCAGTTTGATTCCACTCTGCATGGAGGATCCTGGAGTCCTAGGCCAGGGAAGCTCAACCTCCTCCGGGGGTCGTAGGGTACCTTGCCTCCTGTAAACTTGCCATGATAGGCCAAGCAAATTGGCCCTAAAACAAACATTACAGCACTAAGACTGTAGTCTCTAAACGAGTGCTTTCCTTGTTAAGTCATCCACTTCATCAAGACTTCTGGAATGGAGACTAGACCTAACAGTCAGACCATTGCTCTCCCTAGAGCCGCCCCCCCCCCTCTGATTCACCCCACACTGTCCATGCTAGAATTCTCTCTTGGGTACCCTACATTCAGTGAGTCACCAAACCCTACTGAGGCTACCTCCGATGATCTCCTGAGTCCATCCCTCTGGTCCCCCCACCATCGCTGCTCACCCCCCCATTTCTTACTGGCCTGCAATGCAGCAGCCCCCTCCACAGCGCCTCGTCTCTGTCCCTGGCTGTCGGCTGTCTCCAGAACTGCCTTCACGGAATCCCAGCTGCGTGTCTTGCTGTTCCACTGCTTAAACAGCCCCGGGAGCCCCTTTCTTCCCCACGGGATATGCTTCGACCTCCTCACTCTGACATGCAAATCCCTTCAGAGTCTGGCTGCTTTCCTCCTCCTTTGAAGCCTTCTCTCCAGGCCCACCTCAAACACGTCAGGCCCTGTGCAGGACTCCACGGTCAAGTTTCACAGGTGGAAAACTGAAAACAAGCAAATCGCACAAAAAGCCCTTCCAACGAGTTCTAAGAAAGGGGAGGGCCACAGAGAACTCCGAGGGATCAAATTCAGTTTGGGTTTTTGCTCTGTCGCCTTATTCCAACCCTAGCTTTTCTGAACCCTTTGGCTCAAATGATCTGTGTTCCTTGAAAAGTCCAGATTCTCAAGGTAGCGGATTGGTTGCTGCCCAGTCAATGGATCGCCTCATCTAGGGTAAAGTGGCCATCACTGACTAATTCGTCAGGTGAGATGGGAGGTTGTCATATGGCGTGTAGGGGCTCTTCCAAGGGCTGAGATCTGGGTAGATTCTCCAGAGCAGTACTTCCAAGAAGCAGAAATGAACTCCGTGGATCTCCAGGGGTGGGGGTGGGGGGGCGGGCGGGGCTGAGAGTCTACACTGACCTCTAACAAGCTCCTGGGTGATGTTGATGCTGCTGGTCCATGGACCACACTTTGAACAGGGAGACTCTACTGGGACAGTAGTCAGGACACGGAGTAAAAAGTATTCAATACCTTCCTCTTGTTCTAGAATGTTCTCCAGTCTTTATTGCCATAAAAATTCTGCTCACTGTTTCAGGTACAGTTCAGATGTCACTTCTATGAAGGTTTTTGGGCTCTCCTGGAGTTCATCTCCTTTATGATATCCCACTGATCACTTGCCTGATAGCTGTCACCTCCAGTTTTGTTTATTCTACCTACTTACCTACATACAGTTTTCATTTATGTATGGTTTCGATGTGCAGTCTGAGTCTTAACAAGAATGTACAGATCCAGAAGCGTCGCATCACCCCCAAATTCCCTCGTGCTGCCCTTTGAAGTCCCTCCTTCCCACAACCCCAGCCTCTGGCAACCACTGACCTGTTTCTATTCATATACTTTTGTCTTTTTCAGAATGTTATATTAATAGAATCATACACCATGTAGCCAGGGATGACTTCTTCAGGTCCCACTGACTCAAGAAGCAGAGAACACTGAGATTTGTTTGATTCAGTCATTCTCCCCTTGGGAGGGAAACCAAGATGAAGGCATCTGGCTCTTGTGAAGGATTCCAAAGCCAGTCATGGGCAAAACCAGTTCCAGTTCTCTCTAGTTCTTCACACAGGCTTAAACAGCGTTGGTGTGGAAACCATGTGCAAGTATGAGCATGCGGTCCTAGAGAAAGCCAATGCGATTAAGGCTGGATCTGGACTTTGAGGTACGGCTCCTGTGGGTGCTGAGGATTAGCAGTAACAGCTGCTATCCTGCCCATTAGAAGAGAAACAGAAGAGACAACAAAAGACTTGTTTAAAGGATGTGTCTCTGCAACTCTGAGGGGGGAAGCCAGTCCATCAAGCCTGAAGGTAAGTGGATGTTTTCCTGGTTCTGGTAGACTAGGGCTGGTGGGAAAGCAGAAACCTCAAGATTTAAGGAGGGGAGGGTGGGATTTGTGGGGTGTGGCTCTTACCCCTCCCCCCTGTATGTGTCTGTGTTTGATCTGATTTGAGGAGAGGAGACCAACTTCTGCCATCAACAAAGCCTCCAAGGACATTTCCTTGTGGTCCTTCTGGGAGAAAATGGAAAAGCCCTGGGTCCCCTCAACTTAGAATGTGTTTTTACAGTTCATTGTTCATTACCTCTGAATGTCCCTGGGAAACTGTAGGAATGGTCCCTTGTGGGGAGAGGTTTTTTACTTTTTTTTTTGCCTCATGGAAAGCAAACCAGCAGAGAGTTATTGTCTGAAGGACTCTTAGGTCCAAAAGATTGGAGTTATAAGTCACCGTCCTGTCTCCTTGTATCTGGTCAGTGTAAGAGGCGGGGTGGTGATGGGTGAAGACAGGATGGGGGTAGATGACATTGGATTATTTGGTTGTATGGATTATCTCCTTAGCCACTGCTTTTATAGCTGTTTTCACTACATTCAAAGTATTTTATTTTTACATTTTAAAACTAGCTTATTAGAGAGGAGGGTTGTTGTTGCCTTGCATTGCTCCTTAGATCAACATATTAGATGAACTTTTGAAAATTCCACGTATGTAAAAATATGAAAAGGAACAACTCCTTTTTAAAAATGCCTAACAGTCCTAAATGTTTATTCAGAGGGCTTTCACCTGTCATATTTGCTGTCTCTCACATTATTCTCCTCTGAGAACTTCTTTTACACAGTCAACTTCTCATTCTTTCTGTCCATGACATTAAAGCTAGCAAACAAAAGTGAAACTTAGTCTCTAAATGTTATTTTATCCAATCATTTTATTCTATCCCTGAGCCCCCCCCCCCCCCAGTAAATTTAACAAGGTGCACAGTGGATGGGCTTGGGTGTAACTTTCTCTGCTCATCTTCTCTGTGAAAAAGTAGTGAAGTAACTAAACAAGTCAGTAAGAGGAAGGACAAGAAAATACCAAAGTGTTGCAAATTTAACAATTGCCTCTAAGTCATTAATTCATAGTTGGCAGAAATTTTGTATCATTCAACTCTCTACTTTGCAATTGTAGCAATAAAACATTAAGCCAAGCCACCATATGCCTTGCTGCCTGCCCATACTGGAATACTGGGTGTCTCACTTCACCAATAATGTATTATCGCTCACACAGCCCTTGGATATCAGACAGCTTGTAAAGAGTCACATCAGGATACAAATATTTTCTGGTCTTATTTCTTTGACTTAATTAAATCCTCTCTAAAAAGAAGCAGTCTGGTCTTAATGAGAGAATTATAAGATGAGAGGTTTTTTGTTTTGTTTTTAAAGTGTTTAGAAATTGAAATACTTCCTACAGTCTGGAACATCTTTTTGATCTTGACCTTGAGCCCTTGCAATCTGGGGAGGCAGCATAGCAGTATCTCAGGTTTAAAGGCATTGTATATTCAGATCAGTCACGTTCAAAAGGACGTCATATCGTTTTCTTAAACAGCATCTGGATTGAAGCTGTTGAAAAGGGCAGGATGTGGGTCTCGGCCGCCCTCGGAGGCTGGTCTTGTGTGGCCCTCTGCCTGGCTTCCTGCTCAGCTGCCTTTTCCCATGGTGCTGGCTCAGGGGCCTGTGAGGATATGCAGCCCAAGCACATTCAAGCCCAGCCTCAGGACCCACAGACCGACCACATCACCATTCACACCGGCAGGTCTTCCTACTCACCGGGTGACACAGTTCCAGGTATGTATGGGAGAGGCTTTGAAAGACCCCCCTGGGCCCTCCTGACAAATTCCAAGCTGTGTTTGTCCCAAGCAGGAGTTTTCTCCATTAAAGTTCGACTTAATCCTAAGAAGCAGTTATTTAGCCCAAGATAAGCATGAAATATTTGTATCACGAGAACCACATAACTAATCTGTATATTGATATTCATTTTTACAAGAAGGCACAAATAGCATTATTATAAAAAATGATCTGTCCTTCTTATAAGATATAAATATAATTATC